CCATGGGCCTTCCTACGAAAGCAGGTGGGTTTCCAGCTCAGCCGCCGGTGACTCAGCAAGGGCGCTGAGAACTGAAAAGGCTGCCTCGGGGCAAACACGGGGAGCCCACTGGTGGCTCCTGGCTGGGTGCCGTGGGCAGACCTCGCCTGTCCCGACAGGCCCCGGGGAATGATCTCCCTGCCGCCCGCTCCGCCGCCCAGACGCTGGGGCAGCACCTGACCGACCAGCAGACAGACTGGGGTTGGCTGTGGAGCTGGTCGTGGACCACGTACAGCGAGTTCGGAGCGAGGCGGCCCCGTGTGGGCAGGGAGCCCTCCACGCCCGCTGTCGCTGCACCGGCGGTCAGCCACCTTCCCCAGCGAGCACTCCTGAGCCCGCACCACCGTCAGCACGGAGCCCTGGCTCTCGCCCTGGAGAAGGAGGGCCTAGGCGTGCTGGAGCCGGGCGCAGGCTCGGCGGCCCACAGGCGCACTCACATGCAGCTGCGGGCCGGAGAGAGGGACTCGGACACTGAGCAGGCAGCCGGCCTGCATCGTCTGAGAGAACGCCCCCAGTGGGAGGGTGTGTCTGCGGACGGCACGGGCAGCCATCTTTTTGTTTCATTCACTCTCTCCTGCTTTTGAGCCACCTATGTCCACGCTCAGCCTGGGATGCCCACACTCCCGTGACCTAATCTGTGGCCTGATCTCGTGTTACTCACTCAGCCTAGAGAGAGGAAAGCATTCACGAACTAAAGAAACGGGGCACAGGTCTCAGCCACAGAGAGCCTGCTGTCTGCACGTTCGTCCTCGCTCAGCCCGCCTTCCCACGAAGGCGTCCGGGACCTCTGGCCTGTGCCCCCCTCTGACCACCGCGTCTCCACTCTCCTCTGTCCCCCTCAGCCTCAGTCGCTCACAGCAGCGCAGGGGCAGCCTCGCTGGCTTCGCAGGGGATGCGGCCAGCCTGGCCTCGCCCTCCTCGGAGCAGCCATCCCTCGTGCTTGTGGGTGTTTGAGGATCGTCTGCATTTCACATCAAAGGCCTGGCACCAGTCTGAGTGAGGCCTAAAGGCTTTTTTAAAGAGAGGATTTACTTGCAGTAAATGAAGTGCAACAGGCACTTCCGACCACGTGGGCCTGGAGGGAGCCGAGTTAACAAATAAACTGCAGTTACTCGACACCAGCACCAAACCACTGCCCTCAGCAGTCTGTCCCGGCTGGTGTGTTGGCAAGGGCTGCACTTCACAGCCCGGCGACAGGCGGGCCGTGGTGTAGAACGGACCCTCGGTTTCCTTGCTGTTACTCTCAGCAGGAAGACTACGTGCTCATGGAGGCTGACACCGTCCAAGCTGCGCGTCGCTGACGGCACAGGAGGGCTGGGTGCTGGCGGCTGGCACCCGGCCCCGCAGAGCCACTGGCTGTCCTGCAGCGACTTCAGCAGCTGTGCCTGCAGAGCATCTGCTACCAAGCGAAGCCCAGGAAGGAGGCTGCTATCTGCACCTGTAACAATCATCTCCCAAAACACGGACTGAGGACACCCTCCTCGCACCCACCCTCCGTGGAAACAGCAGAGGCGCGGTTTCTCCCCGTCAGTGGTAAACCCCAGCAGGGACACTAGTTTCTAACCCTCGCCCTCCCAGGGGAGTCTCCGAGGTCACTGCGTACCCCGAGCCAGGACGCCCCGAGGAACGGCGCCGGCTGCTCAGGGCCTCGGGCTCAGGAGACCCGGGGCAGAGGTTTCCTTGTATCGAGAGCGACTCACCTGGGCGCTCAGGCGCTGTGGCTGTTCCTGAGCGAGGCATCACATTTCTGAATTAGGAAGTGTCTGCATTTTTAATTAATTCCCAAAATGACACAGCACGAGGCTGTGATGGTGGCCTATCTCCTGGAGGGGGCCACATTTCCCGCTTTTAACTGAGTCCTGAAGCACAGATCCTAGCGCCTCCTCTGGGCCTGAGGCCTCCCGCAGAGCGGGGCTCGCCTGCCTGACTGGGGACAGTCCCTCCTCGGTCACTAACTGCCAGAGCTCCTCGCCGGTCCTGGCGTGCCCTGAAAGTCCTTTGAAGTAAAAGTGGGTTAAATGAAGGCTTAACATTAGTTAGCAAGTTTTCTTTTCCAGAACCAGTCCATATACACAGATTCATTAGGTTACAAACCAACGTCTAACCTGTGTCTAAAGCAGGGACATGGATACTGACATCCACTACTGCAGGGTTACTAAAGGAGGGAATCGGGCCCCATCAGTCACAGGGGCACAGACTCGGCGAGCTCTTCCAGTTACACATTGCTATTCTCTCGGTCCCACCTGACGTAAATGACATCTGGATCAAATAACAGCTTTAGTCAAAGGTGCACACACATACACACACGTGCGCACACACACACGCACACACGCATGCACACGCACACTCACGCACTGTTTCAGGTTCTGCACGCAGTCATCCACAGACAGCCACATTCAGCCACCGACCAGAGGGAGAACGTGAAGAAGTGGATGAACTTACGACGATGATACTGAATGGAATGAGTATTCCCCCCAGTAACGCGTAAGGGATGGTGTCGTCCTTGTAAGGGTACTTGATGGACACGTCATTACAGAACAGTCCTCGCTGGAAGGGGGTGTGCCTTGTAGTAAGAATTGCAAAAGGCAATCCAGCTAGCAAAGGGAATAAACGAAAACATCGTTAAAAATGGAACATCAAATCACATCAATGGCAACCATGGCCCCAGAGGCTGACGCGGCTGCCACGGGAGCGAGTCAGCAAGGCGAGGGCGCAGCAGTGCAGGCGGGAGGTGCAGGCAGGGCCCCCTCGGCGGCTCCCACGGCGGCTCCAGGCCTCCAGGCGCCACTACACCCAGAGGGACCCTTCCCTTCCTGCCTTCTCGTGCCCTTGGCATTTCACCCGTCTTCACGCTGTTTGCAACCATCCGTCACCGACGTGGCTCCCAGAAGCGACCCAGCACTGGCCATCTCAGGTCTAGGCCACACCACACGCAGGCCGTCCCCGGCCAGGCCACCGAGGGCTAAGGAAGCTCTGCCCGGTGCTGGGGCTGTCACGAGGGCACAGCAGCTGGGAAAGGAGCCTGAGCTTCAGACCAGGTCTCTACGAAAGACCCTGGTCACGCACAGGAGCGGCACCAGACACTGCTCCCGCGGCTGGGTCCCCGTCACCTCCCGCCCCCTGGCTCTAGCTGACGTGGACCGGAGAAGCCCTGCGCTGTTTCACCGAGCTCGGCAGACCGCCGACTAGGACTATCTTGCACAAAAGACAGTTTAGCAGAAACCTCAACACGCCGTCCGCCCCAAGCGGGGAGGGTCCCCCCCATTCCCCCTCCCCACAGTGCCGCTCCGCCAGGCTGACACACTAGTGCTCACGCCCGACCACTCCAGTTCTCACCGACCAGGGAGCCGAAGGCCGCCCTCTGCTCTGCGGCCGGCGGAAGGAGCGCACGTCCCCGTTTCTCTCTCTCCCGGAGCACCGGCCACGGCTGCTTCTTCGGGGAAGCACCTGGCCGGTGGGAACTCGGCAGTCTTTAAGGCGCTCGCCGGGTTCCCAGAGCCACGTTCTCGTATTATAAAAGCTACGTTTTAAGAAAAACCCGACTGGAGCTGACTGTGCCCACTGACCTCCCCATCTGCCCGTCTGCATTCAGGTTCCGACACCAGCACAGACTGCCCGGGTGCCAGCCTCCCCACCCACACCGCGCTGGGCAACTGCTGTTTACGGGGACCCACCACGTCCAGCACTCGCTTCACTCGCGAGAACCCACACAGCACACACCGCGCGTTTCTGAACTGCGTTCCTTTTCCCAAGGGGACTGCTCTCCGCAGCAAAAACAGGCCCCGAGCACAGAACCCGAGTCCACATCCGACCAGTGCCTACACCGTGGCAGGTTTTATGTCCTTGTTCTCAGAAAAATGCTCACTTACGGGCCCACATGTACTGAAAACTGTTTTCAGGAGCATATTCATTAAGTTGTGTGTTTTCCCCTTCGACACAGAAACTATGTTAGAAATTATTCTTAGTGTTTTCAGAATAGGAGAAAACAACATGAAGTCACACACAGGTATAATGAGTCCGTTTTTAAAAACGGGAATATCCTAGCGGACAGATACACGTAGATCCATGGTGCGAGGTTCTGCTGGACGCGACAGGACACGGAGCTGAGGCCACACAGGACACGCCGTGGGTCTCTGCCCCCGGCCGGGCCGCTCATCGCTGCCGCCTGCTGACTGGCCTGTCACGTGGTGCGTGGCGTTCTGGGTGCGGCTGTCACTCACGTAACGATGAGGTCATGCCCTCGCTCCGGTCACTGCGCAGTGTGCTGTGGGCACACGCGACGGCTGGTCCCCGCTCCGTCCTCCATGACTGGACCCTGTAACACCCAGTTCAGGCTGGCTGACACGTACGTACCGTGTCGAATGCACAGGCCTCGGTGGAAGACTGCCCGCTGCTGTCCGCAGTGGTGAGCCCACGAGAAGGGCCCTCTGCATGCACACTCTCACGGACAGTCACCGCCTCCCCGCCCCCCAGCCGGTGAGGACACATCACCAGAGCGTGTGACACGGACACTTGGCTTCCACACTCCAACCACAGGCCCCTCTCCCGCCGCCAGACAGCGACGAGCAGCAGCCTGGCCCCGTGTGTGTCTTAGCAGGAGGACTGGTGACGGCGTCCAGCAGACAGGGCCCTGGCTCACGGGAAACCACGGCAACCCCAGGCTTCTCCCCGGCAGAGGCTGATGTCTGCTCCTTTGTGCCGCAGGGCCGTGAGCCGCGGGTGCCCGGAGAGGGGCGTGCGGGCTCGGGGCTAAGAACCCTGACAGGTGCCGGGCCCCGAGACCTGTGGCGAGGCAGCACCACCTCCTGGAACAGACTCTGAGCAGAGAGGGCGACCACCAGAGAGGGAGTTCTCAGGCTCCAGCCCTTCGCCGACGCCTGACCGGAAGGGGAGGTGCAGCTGAAGGCGGGACCCCAAGAGCCTGAGGCCCCGCTGCCAGGAGGCAGGGCTGCCACCTGCCGAGTCGTGGCTGACTGCGGGGGGAGGCGTGAGTGTGGAGGCACGTCCTCCAGCAGCCTCTGAGATCTCCCTGTGTATTCGCCAAGGGGAAAACTCCGAGAGGGAAAGCCAGCTGTGAAAATACATTTGTCCAATGATGCCGCAGGACCTGACATACAGTCATACTGATGTGCTGATGCCTTCTTTCTTTTCCTCCTGCTTACATCTACAATAATAAACGCATCGTATGCTCATTAGACCGGGCTGCGCGGGAAGCCGGTGCCGGCAGCGGGGGAAAGAAGGCCTACTCCTTGCATCGGGCCTCCAGTGTGACAACAGAACTCTGGTGACTGCTGTATACCGCAGCAACCACCAACCGAAACCACACTCAAAGCACAGGCATTTACAACATCCACCACACTGGCACCCTGGGGTACAAACCTCACAGAACGTGTGTGCTGAGTGACAAACGCAGTGAGGGAAGGCAGAGGCCTCGGGGAGACACACGGAGGAGTTAACAAGGGGAAGGGTCCATCTCTCCGGGGCCGGAGCTCCTGTGGAGATTCCAGCCGGCCTGCTGCAGACACACTAAGTGCCTGTGGAAAGCTAGGCGCCCGGGGAGAGGAGAGCTCTGGAAAGGGGTCATCTCTGTGCTGGACAGTTCTAGAGTTTCGACAGATTGCGAGTGTCCTAATCGTATGCACACTGAGTGACCACAGTCCGTGTTTATTGACTTGCTAGAGGCCCGATATAGGAAATGTGTGCAAGGGCCTGTTTGTTCTGTAAGGCCAGTCTGCAGTCTGGTCTAATTGGCATATTAGCTCTTTGTTATATGGGACAGTTCACTTTCCACATGCATTTCCAGTCATCATGGTGCAGTTTAGGTCACTGAATAATCCAATGTCTCTTTAGGAGTTTGTATGTTGGCCACACACACACACACACACACAAACACGGCTATCCTCTATTATTTTAGGCTGAACATGTTTACTACAAGGCTGAGCTATAGAATAACAAGACCTAAGAAAACCAGCTACTCACAGTCCTGTGAAATCACTGGCACATGCAGAGAGCAAGTGTCCTTTCCCCAGACCACACACATTTAAACTCTAGAAGTATATGCCTTGCATACAGGGGTTTGGGGTTTAACTTCCTTGTTACTATCGTTACTCTAAAAGTTGCATACAAATTCAAGCTTCTTTTTCTAAAAGTAAATGTGTGAGGACCCGGGAGGAAAGGTACACAAAGCCAGGGGGAAAGGAACATTTAGCGTGAAACTGGATCCTTAAGTCCCAGAAAAAAAACCTTAGGCCAAGAAGACACAAAAATCAATCGTCTTCCCATTAGCTGAGGAAGAAACAGTACAGAGTGCCTTTGTTTTTTCTTAAAGAGTATGGACCTCAAATTGTAAAAATTAAGTTGATGGTTTAAAATGTTCTATCATCCAAATTCCTTTCCTCATCATTAAGTTACAAAGCATGCATCTGAGTCACATCCAACACTAGTCATTTCCAGAAAACCGCCTTCTTCACCCAAGGTCACAGGTAAACTGAAAACACACACACACACAAGTCCGCAGCAGCCCACCAGCCACTGCACACGCACCCTAGCCACATGCACATGCATCTCAGCTACCGCACACGCATCCCAGCCACCGCACACACTGCTCCTTCTTTCACTAGGAACACGTTTTCATTAAAAAGTCTTTGCAGGCCATCGCTCCAATATTGGGAAAAAGAATGCAAGGATTTACCCAAGTCTTTTTCCACTACTTTTTGAAAATGTAGCTGTATTTTTCCTAACTTAGCTGTTTAATATCTATAGTAACTCAAAAATGTTCACCATACAAATAAGTAAAAACAAGGCACAGACTGAATGTGAGTGTAGTCCCAGGAACGCTGACCAGCTGGCCTGGCGGGTGTGGCCGGTGGTTGGAGCTTGGTCCTGTGCACCACAGGGTTGAAGGGTCAAGGGTTCGATGACCAGGCGGAGCACACACCCAGGATGTGGGTTTGGTTCGATCCCTTGTTGGGGTGTGTACAGGAGGCAGCCAATCTCTCTCTCTCTCTCTCTCTCTCTCTCTCTCTCAGTAAATAAAAACATATCCTCTAATACTAGAGGCCAGGTGCACAAAATGTGTGCACTGGGGGAGGGGGTGTCTCCTATTAGAAGAAATCTATCAGACATCAGAGATATAAACTAGAAAACCCAAGAAGTAGGTTATCACTCAGAGGCAATGTGGGGCCCACCTGGAAAGAAAAGCCAACCTCCTGCTGTGGAAACGGGCTGCTGAGCAAGTCCACGCCCTGGGAAGACAGGCGGCAAGAGACTAGGACAGAGGAGAAAGCCGCCCGCCCCCGCTGTCTGCGTCCAGGCACCTGGAGACACAGGGGACCCCGGATCCGGAGCCCACAATGAAGGAAGTGAGCGCAGCTGCTTAGCTGTGGGGGGACTTCGCCTGGAAGGGAACGTCCCAGGTGTCTGACATTATGAAGCCCACCCCCCCAGACCGATGAGCTGCCCTCCAGCACAGCACCTCGAACCCCTGACCAGGCTGAGGCACTCTGAGGGATCTAGTCTGCATATGTGTAATTCCTCAGATTTAACACATAAACCATCTCCTTCCTATGGCCTGGATTCCCATGTGATAAATGATAAGACAGGCAGCACCTTAGCTCGGCATGTCATTTACCAGCACGGAACGCTTACCGGCTGACCTAGCGTCTGCACTTTGTCCTGAAAGGAGTTGCTCCAGATGCCTGGGTGAGCCTCCGTGCTAGGCAGCACCCTAATGCTTCGGAAGACCCACTCGTTCCCTGGGGCCTCGCACCCCTTGTCCTGGAGAAGCTGCCCCTCGTGAGCACAGGGCCTGCTGCTCGGCGACGGCTGTCCGCACACCTCGCCGGGAAGACCTGGAAGGCCAGCCGGCCTTACTCCAGCGCCATCACTCCACCCCCCTCCAGCACCACACGCCAGCGCCACCTACCTACGCGTGCATTTACTTACACAGGAAATGGGTACCCCAAGCCCCAGTACGGTGAGCATGGTGGTGGAGACGGTACTGTCATGGTACGGGTACTGGATGCTGATGTCTGTACAGAAAAAGCCTCTCTGAAATGGGTATATGTAACGCAGATTTAGAACAGCCATGGGCATGGAAGCTGTTGGGGAAGGGAAAAAAGACACACATGGTTACAGTCAGTTCGCTTCACCGGGAGGTCAAGTCTACCGAAGGGGCGGGTCTTAGCACATTCTGCCAGTTCTGGAAGGAACCCAAGCTCCACCGGCCAGAGTGAAGCGGGCAGCAGGCAGGCCGCTCGTCCCCCCGCCTCACCGAGCACACGTGCTCCGGCCCGGGGCGCCTCGGAACCCCGGAGGGAGCCAGCTGGCCCCGGGGAAGCAATTTCGTAACCAATTCACTTTTTATTGAATTGCTTCATATCTTAATTATATTAAAGAAAAAAGAAAACTTAGTAAATACGTTTAATAATCATAATTATCAAAACAGCCAAATGTATTAAGGAGGGCGGGTATAAAATTTTGTTTCACATTAAAATTTAAAATATGGTTAGAAAACAAAAGAAACAATAAGTATATTTGATAATAAAAACAGAAAGAACCAAGCCCTTTGTATTCCAAAGAAAAATTTTAAGTTTTTTTTTTTTTAAGCCCTGGCAAGCCTCCAAAATCACTATGACAAGCTACACAGGAATAATGTTCATTTGAGATTTCTCACCCAAATAAAATGAAAGCCAAAGAGAAACGAACTTCAGTCAGTAGCTCCGCAGTCCACTCCATGCACATGCTCAGGCTTTGCTTTAACAATCAGATGCTCAGGTGTCTGTCTCTCACTCACACTGGCCACGGCCAGGCCCCCTCAGGACGGCCAGTGTGACAGCTGCAGGCCAGGCCACACACACATGCAGAGTCAGAATGCACACTCAGGGATTGTTGTGGAAGTGAAACCTGGAGGTATTTTGGGGGAAGGGGCTGATGAAATTGTTCTGTATCTGGATTGTGATGGTAATTCTGCAACTCTAAGCATTTGTCAAAACTCGAAGAACTGTACAACCAAAAACTCAATCTACTGTGTGTGGAATTTAAAGGAAATACCATAAAAGACAAAGCATGACTAACTTCTAAGATGGTTTAACAGGCCCTCTGGGAATTCAGAGGTCACCCTGAGCTGGAACAGCTAAGAGGAAAAGGCAGATGGAGAGAACGGGTAAACCGTGGGCAGCAGAGCCGCGGGAGGAGCGGTCGGCGGCCGGGGCGGCCGGGGAGGCCAGGGAGACGGCCCAGCACACGGACAGCTGCGCAGAGCGGTGCTCACAGCCAGCATGCTCGTGTGCTCACACGCCAGGCAGGAGCGACAGGCACTCACCAGCCTCCCTCCCCGGGGAACAGGGACCAGACCCCCATTGGTCACATCCATCACGGAGGCGCAGAGCTGTGGACCCTGCTGAGACCAGCACGGGGGACCCAGAGGGCAGCACAGGCTGCTCTGGGGGGGCATGGCCTCAGGGGGCGGGCGGGCGGGCTCAGGACCAGGCAGAACTGGGATGGGCGACGCAGGACGGCGGGGAGGCCTGCCTTCGAGGCGCTCGCTCGGCATGGAGCCGTGACGGTCCCAGTAAAAGCCTCTGCAGACTGCTCTGACCCTGCTGTCTCTTCTATCGGGAGGACGTGCCTGCAGACGCGCATTCAAGGAGAAGTTCTGGTTTGAAATACAGGCCTCCAAGGAGCGTGTCCTGGAGGAGGAAAGTCTGTCCCTCTGCGTGGGGTCGGCCACGGCGTGAGACGGGGCTTCAGGGTTACATGTTTAAAAAGCAGGAACGTGGCTGGAATGCCGCTCTGAAATAGCGTGGCAATCAGCGGTCAGTGTGTGCTGACCAACACGGGAAGGGGGCGTGCGGACCGGCCCAGAAGGCAGGCGGGGCACTGAGGCGGCGACTGGCAGAGTGTGGAGTTGGGGGGAAGGAAGTGAGTTCAGTGTTAAGAAGACTGACTTTGGGGTGGTCTGCACCTTCTTAAACCGCAGCCTCATCTCCGTCTCCCTCACCCCAGCCCTCAGGGCCCAATCACACAGAACCATTTGCTGGTGCCTGAACATAGTATGTTTTCAAAACCACAGGTGCCACCTGGCCGGCAAGGTTGACCACTGACCTGTGAACCAAGAGGTTACAGTCCAATTCCCGGCCAGGGCACACGCCCGGGTTGTGTGGGGTGTGCTGGGGATTCTCTCTCATCATTGATGTTTTTCTCTGCCTCCTTCTCCCTTCCTCTCTGGAATCAATAAAAATACATATTTTTAAAAACCATAGATGCCTTGCCCTGAGTGGTTTGGCTCAGTGGATAGAGCATTGGCCTGCGGACTGAAGGGTCCCAGGTTTGATTCTGGTCAAGGGCCTGTATCTTGGTTGCGGCCACAACCCCAGTGGGGGGGGTGCAGGAGGCAGCTGGTCGATGTTTCTCTCTCATCGATGTTTCTAACTCTCTGTCCCTCTCCCTTCCTTTCTGTAAAAAAATCAATAAAATAAAAAATTTAACAAATCAATTAATTAAAAAAAAAACACACCACAGGTGCCTTAATATATAGGACTAGCGGCCCGATGCACGAACTCCGAGCCAGGGGCTCAGCCCCTGCGGCCCTCGCAGCCCGGCTTCGTCCAGAAGGCCGTCCAGTCTCATTAGCATGTTATGCTTTTGTTATTATAGGTTATTACAGATGGGCAAAAGTAGGTTTACAGTGTGAATGCGTAAAACAGAGTTTATTCTGTGTTATTATCACTAATAAGTGTGTCATTTCCCCGGGGAGGCCCGGCGTGGGAACAGGTGGCGGCTCACTGGGACCCTCGGAGAACTCGCCGTAATGCACAAGTGAGCACACAGGCAGCACACGCCTGAGGCACGGAAACCACAATCTGTGCACCAGCAACTCCGGCCTGAAGAGTCGTAAGGGATTTCTCTCCAGAAGACTCGTGAGAACAAACCAAGGAAAGGGGAGGTCAGCGAGCTCTCAGGCCCCAGCCCACGAGGGAGGCACTTCCAATCCTGCACTGACAGTCCCTGCTCACGCTCCACGGGGAGCACCTCACACGGCAACTGTGGACACGGGCCTGCACCGACAGCGGGTCCCGGGCCCTGCCAGCCCGCGCGCGAGCCGGCTTCCCACAGAGCTGCCTGCCAGGAGCACTGCTCTCCCTCTTCCCCGAGAAGGGAAGGTGGACCCCAATTCAATCTGTTACCTCCTCCCCTAGCTCCCCCAGGCCCGCGGCTCCCCTGCAGGGAGGCGGCAGAGAGCAGAGCAGGAACCCTTCAGCCAGGCTTCGCCATCACAGCCCCCTCAGGCCGGCTCCTCCAGCCGCCTCTCCAGAGCCACTAGCCACGGTCAGACCTGCAGCGGCCACAGAGCGCACACGCACACACGCACACACACACACGCACACACACGCACACACACACACACACACACACACGCACACACGCGTGAGCACCCCGTCCATGCAGCACAGGCTGCGCTCCAGGCCCACTCCAGGCCCGGGTGAGACACTCACCACTGCACCACGTGGGACACTTGCTGTCACCCTCAGCTCAGAGCGTGATCACATGGCCCGTTCCCGTAGCAAAGGTCAGCTGACGGGAAGCCCTAGAATAACCAGGCAGCCCGCCTACAGGACACTGAAATAGCACCTGCTGGCCTGCAGCCATGTGTAACCCCGAGTCTGTCTGTCTGTCTCTCTCTCTCTCTCTCACACACACACACACGCACACGCACACGCACACACACGCTCAGGCAAGGCTGCTCTGTGGTGAGGACCAAAGCTGCTGTGCGGGTGACTAGGTCTTCACGTCCCGGCCCCCAGGCATGCCCGAGAAGACCTGCGTGAAGGATGGATGAGGGCCGCCCTCCCGCCCACCGGCCCTGCACGCAGCACGGCCACCCGCCGCCCTCATTTAACACAGGCATCTGCACGCAGACTGCCCGCCCGGAACCTGGGAACAATTTAAACCTAACCAGTAGTATTAGTATTAGAACAAGCAACTCATACATAGCAATATGTCCAATGTACCGACAACAAGGCAAAATGGCCTGCAAGAACGTTACGATTAGTATTTCACTTGTATGAAAAAGTACTGGTCTTTGTGTCTAAAACAAACATTAGAAAGCCTAGAAAAAGACATAACCAGCTTCCAGGTAGTCAACTGCAGAGACGGCACTTACTATAAAACCAGACAGACACCTCACTCCCACTGCACATACTTCCGCATTTGAATGTTTTATGACAACAAAAAAATCAAGATCATTAATTTTGACTTTGAAGAACTGCTTTATCACCATGAAAATGATGTTTTTTCTTTTTTTGCTGTGTTTCCTAAAATTATGCTACAAATGGCACTTACTGAAAAAGCTCTAATCTCAAAAGCGTTTAATGTTTCTATGGAAAAGTGAGAGCCTTTCTCGAGTGCCTACGATTGCCAGGCGTTGGCCTATACATTCTCTCTAACAATTTCACGAAGGGAAGACAGTGCCCAAATTCTGACATTTGAAAACTTAAAAATCTAGGTCATAGGTCTAGAAAAGCTAAAATGTAAATCATAAAACAGCCTGAAGTGAACATGAAAATACAAATCAAAACTTAAAGTGCAGCCGAGACCGGTTTGGCTCAATGGATAGAGCGTCGGCTTGGGGACTGAGGGACTCGGGTTCGATTCCGGTCAAGGGCATGTACCTTGGCTGCGGGCATATCCCCAGTAGGGGGTGTGCAAGAGGCAGCTGATCGATGACTCTCTCTCATCGATGTTTCTAGCTCTCTATCTCTCTCCCTTCCTCTCTGTACAAAATCAATAAGTTTTTTTTTTAAAATATATTTTAAAGTGCACAGCTAAAACATTACACATGAAAACTAGAGCCTTAAACGCATACCTTAGAAATTAATGGAACATTCAGTTACTTATTTTTAAAAAGCTCAGCAGAGTGAAAGGAATATAGAACAGGAATGAATACAATGGAAAACAAAGGAAAAGCCAGACGACCTAAACCAAGTGAGCTCTGTGCTACTCGGAGCTACCTGAGCCGTTTTTAGAAAGTTCTAGTCATTGCAAACTTAAGGGATGTCCTTTGTTTGGTGTCTAATTCGGTTCAAACAAAATGCACCCCGTTTTCTCGCTTTCTTTGGAAACAGGTGCTGCGATTCTTCCCAGACCACGGAGAGCCTCCTGCTGAGGGACAGCTCTGTGCCCCCTTGGGGAACGGGTGTCCGGTGTCCGCAGGAGAGGGCCATCAGGCTTTCACCCACGGAGCACACGGATGTGCCAGGGGAGAGCCACAGCACATGCGGACACGGTCCTGCTGGCTCTGCCCTCGACGCAGCGCCGTGCCAGCACTGCTGGGCGCTCACACGGGCACTCAGGCTCACGACGAGTGTCTGCACTCTTGGAGCAGCGGGGGCTGTGCCAGGCGGTGCGGCCGGGCCCGCGGGGACACAGCCATGCCCGGGAAGAAGACCAGGCCGCAGAGCCCACCACAGGGAGGAGCTGCGGGGAGGAAGGGCCAGCCGATGCAATGTGCCCAACAGGAGTGCCTCTCACGGCCCCCGCCGGCCCCCGGCGTCACTGCTCCAGCAGGTAAAGGTGAACATCCCAGCAGCTGGAGGTGGAGATCCTGCCCCGGGCCACGCGGTCAAGAGGCCGTGAGCCCACGGACGCCCCGCAGGCCAAGGACAGGCGCCACTTCAAAGAGCCGAGTAGGAAGAGGACGGGAAGCAGGTCATGGAGGGCTGACAGAGGCCGCAGCCGTGGGAGGAGCAGCCTGACAGAAGAAAGGGGTGAAGGTAGGAGGAGAGACAGTGTAATTATCCGATAGAATAAAGATGCAATATGCAAGTGGTCCTTACTCGTTACGCCGCCGTGAAGCTTAATGGCCGACCACGTCACTACCGGATCACGGATCAGCAGGAGGGTGAGGCAGTGAGCTACAGGAGGGGGCAGGGCACAAGCTGTGAGAGGGGGTGGGGGAGCTACAGAGGGCGGGGCAGTGGGCAGTGAGCTACAGGAGGGGGCAGGGCACAAGCTGTGAGAGGGGGTGGGGGAGCTACAGAGGGCGGGAAGTGGGCAGAGAGCTGAGGAGGCAGCGGACAGCTACTGGCGCACAGATTTGTGCGCAGGGCTACTGGTCTTCTAATGAAAAGGAAGGGAGGGGAGAACTGCCCGCACTTCAAAGGCAAATTAGTTGTTTTGTTTTTGTCAGTATAGGGAGTGGGAGGAGGTGATGGGGGGAGGGTTAGAATAAGGGTGGGGAGCTAGCTCCAAGGGAGCAGGGAGGAGATGCCAGCACAGGGACAAGGCCACCCCCTCCAGGTGGCTCGCGTTGTGCTGCTCGGCAGTTCAGTCAGGCCCGGGTCCTCTCTAGCAAAGCCAAGTCCAGTTATGAGCTGGCCCCACCCTCTCCCAGGCTGCACACTGCCCTTGGCCCTGTGGCCGATGGCAAAGGGGAGAGAGGGCGGAGCACGGACGCCGCCTGTGTCTGCACACACCGCATCTGCCCTCCCCACACTGGCACGCCAGCTCCAGGCGCAGCGGGAGCTGAGCTGTGTTCACGGACAGATCCCAGCACCCAAGTGAGTGCTTAACGCCAGCAGGCCCTGGGCACAAGCTGAACAACAAAGAGCACCTTGTAAAACAGGTATTATCACCCTGCCTGACAGGCGAGGTGACTCAGAGAGGACCACAGCGTGATCACAGCCGCCGTACAATACAGGAGACATCAACCGTGCCCACGCCAGCCGCCCAGCACGGCCGCCCAGCACGGCGGCTCTGTCCACGGGCCGGTGGCCTGGGTGCCTCTCCAAAGAGCTGAGCAGGAAGAGGACGGGACGCAGGTCCTGGAGGGCTGACAGAGGCCGCAGCCGTGGGAGGAGCAGAAGGGAGGGGTGAATGCAGGAGAGACAGTGTAATTATCGATATAATAAAGAGGGGCCGGGGAGCCGCGGGTGGGCGCTGACCTCACTGTCAGCGGGGCTCCAGGATTAGCAGGTACCTGTCTGACGCTCAGTCCTGAAAGCACTGGAGACAGCACCGCCTGCTGGAAAGTGAGGGGCGCGGGTGCGGAGAGTCCCCAGGAGGAGGCGCACGAGTGCTGCCGCTGCCAAATGCAGGCGAGGGGGGCCTGAGCCCAGCCCCGCCCAGCAGAAAGCTAGGGGACAGACATCAGGCGAGGGGAGGAGGCACCAGAGTATGGGGGCAGCAGAGCTGCGGTAGGAAGGGTCTGACCCCAGGAAGTGAGAAGTCCGCACGGCTCTGAGCGAAGGCCTGAAGCTGCACTTGGCACAGATGAGTCGGTGTGCAGACACAGGGGAGGGGGAGGTCAGTGGTAGAGGTGCCCTCACCCCGAGGTTTTCAGTGGTCAGCCTGGTCCACAAGTGTGAGGCAGAAAGCTCCGCCGTCACGGGGAGGGGTGGGGGACCTGTCCTGTGCCGTCCTGTAGGGGTCAGGACGTTGCGTGTCACTGCTGGCTGCTGCGGCTGACCTGAGGGCGCCTCGCTTGTGAACTGGGGGAAGGTCCGTGTGCACAGGAAAAGCCCAGCACATACGGGGCTCAGTACGCTCCGGCTCAGGCACCCCTGGGGCCCGGGAGGCACTCCCGGTGATGGGGGTGTATTTGAGAATGACTCGGCGATGGCACCTGCCTGTCACGGCGAGGCACCGCTCTCTGGCTGGCACGCTCTCCTATACAGGACCAGCTGTCTTGCTGGCTTTTGTTTTGTGCTTAAGTTGGACAAAGGGGAAAAGACACTGAATGTAAGTGACATTTACCAAAGAAGGTTTTCACTTTCTGTGGTTTTCTGTCAACAATTACCTATAATATCCTCAACCCTGGAGTCTGAGTCCATTAAGACACTTAAAATAAGCACGTATATACTTACCGAGCTTTTTAAACACTCCCAGTGACCGTGCGGGCAGGTCTCCGTTGCGGACAAACACAGACACGGATCTGTCACCTGCTGTCCCGCCCCGGCCGGAGGCAGAGCCAGCCGCACACCCTCCGCCGCCCGCCACAGCTGTCCCTCCTCCCCAGAGGTCACGGCAGCTCGGCCACGGGCTGGGCTCCGCAGCGAGGCGGAGGCTGACGGACGGGGTGTGGGGAGAGACGGCTGATTTGTTTTCTACTTGACTTTCTCCTCGGCCCTGATCAGGAATCTATTCTGGGCTTCTTTGGTATTTGAAGCGACAGCTATAATAATTTCTCAGCCCAAACACACGCCATTGACATGGAATTAGAGTTTGGGGGTCACACAAGCACATTTTGAAAGAGGCAAAAACGACAGCAAACCACATAGTCACGTGCAGTACATGAGCGGCTGTCCCGTTAGAAGTGAAGGATGCTGGGTGCGGAGGCTGCAGGGCACCATCCCATGGATGTGATAAGAGAGGTGGCTGCCCAGGGGAGGGCTTGGGAGGCAGGGTCTGGGAGGGAGAGCCTGGGAGGGAGGGCCTGGGAGGGAGGGCCTGGGAGGGAGGGCCTGGGAGGGAGGGCCTGGGAGGGGAGGATCTGGGAGGGTCTGAGAGGGAGGATCTGGGAAGGGAGGGCCTGGGAGGGGAGGATCTGGGAGGGAGGGGCCTGGGAGGGAGGGGCCTGGGAGGGAGGGCCTGGGAGGGAGGGCCTGGGAGGGGAGGATCTGGGAGGGAGGGGCCTGGGAGGGAGGGCCTGGGAGGGAGGGGTCTGGGAGGGAGAGCCTGGGAGGGGAGGGTCTGGGAGGGAGGGCCTGGGAGGGAGGGCCTGGGAGGGAGGGCCCGGGAGGGGAGGGTCTGGGAGGGAGGGGCCTGGGAGGGAGGGCCTGGGAGGGAGGGCAGGATCTGGGAGGGTCTGAGAGGGAGGATCTGGGAAGGGAGGGCCTGGGGGAGGGGCCTGGGGGGGGAGGGCCTGGGAGGGGAGGATCTGGGAGGGAGGGCCTGGGAGGGGAGGATCTGGGAGGGAGGGGCCTGGGAGGGAGGGCCTGGGAGGGAGGGCCTGGGAGGGGAGGATCTGGGAGGGTCTGAGAGGGAGGATCTGGGAAGGGAGGGCCTGGGGGAGGGGCCTGGGGGGGAGGGCCTGGGAGGGGAGGATCTGGGAGGGAGGGCCTGGGAGGGGAGGATCTGGGAGGGTCTGAGAGGGAGGATCTTGGAAGGTAGGGCCTGGGGGAGGGGCCTTGGGGGGAGGGCCTGTGAGGGAGGATCTGGAAGGGGAGGGCCTGGGAGGCGCTGCCTGGGAGAGCGCAGCTGGAGGGGCTTTTCTGCTCCTCTGTATCTTGATGGTGGAGGCTCCCTCTCCACATCCTAGCATGTCTGAATCCACGGACTGGTACCCAAAGTGGATTTCACTATGCAGAATACAAACCAGCTCGAATGCTGGCTTCAGCTGCCACCCCCTCTGTTCCTCCCTCCTGCCCCACACCCCACGCCCCACCCAGCTTCCTCCACAGGCCTGTCACAGTGTGCGCGCAGGGCGGGTGCTGGGCAGCGCTGGCTCTGCAGTCTGATGCCCTGGGCTTAGCTCTGGCACCCTCCCATCCACCTCTACCCCCCCGAGTGTGCATGGCAAATTACCTGCCATCTGAGCTCAGCCTCCCCTTACGGCGAATGGGAACAAGTCCTAATTACATACCTCCCAGAACCCCACGCTCAGAACCCAGCCATGTGCCTGACACAGCACCTGGCACAGGAAGAGGACTTAATAATAAACGCTCTCACCGACGGACCTCTGCCTGCCACCTGCACAGCCACCGCGGCCTCTCCGAGTCCCAGCGGCCCGGACACACAGACCTGCCCCGACATGTAGCATGTAATGAGCAGTTCCTCTCCAGCAAATAAAACGAGTCTGTGTCATCTGACCCGACTCAGCAGAGGCCAGCACGTTCCTGCCGATAGTCCATCGTCGGCGTGAGAATGGTGTGTCCCTGAGGTGGTCTCACTGTGAGAGAGCAGGGAGTGTTGGGAGGAGGGGCACAGAAAAGGCAAGAACCCAGTGAGATGGCCGGACGGGTGCCCCAGAGCTCCCAGTGTACAAAGGGTGCTGTATACAGAACAGCAGCACAGAAAAAGCAAATAATCTAAATATAAACAATGGAAGTTAAAGTGGATTATGCCAAATACAAACAGAAGATCACATAAACATTCAAAGTATTTGGTAGAAAACTATGGTTAAAATTAAAGAGTAGGGGGTGTGCAAGAGGCAGCTGACGGATGATTCGCTCTCATCGATGTTTCTAACTCTCTATCCCTCTTCCTCTCTGTGAAAAAATCAATAAAATATATTTTAAAAAATAAAATTAAAGAGTATATGCAACAATATCCCAATATTTTTAAAGCATGTGTTTTTGTTGTTTTTTTTCAAGTGTGAATTCGAACACATGAAGAAAGCTCTGTGAAGATATATAACCAAAATGTTAAAAAAAAAAAAAAAAAAAAGGGGTGTGTGTGTGTGTGTCTTGGTGATGGGAAGATTAGTAGTGATTTTATTTTATTTCCTGGGTTTTCTAGAGTTTACCAATGTATTACATGTTAATTTTAGAAAGTTTGGAAATTAATAATTCTTTTAAAGAAAAAGGCTAATCTAGATCTTATGAGGAGAGTATTCCACATCATAAGTACATGATGCTAACCACACACAACGAAACGCCATCCATTTCCAAAGCCAAGCAGTCTATCCCAACCTTGTCCTGAACCCGGCCTGACGGAGGCCCGGGAGCAGGTGCACAGGAGCGCTGCCCAGGCCCCCCACACGCCTTTCTCCAGAGCTGGAGCCGGGGCGCGAGCTCGCGGGTCTGGCCCTGCCGGGCCTCGGGTGAGCTTATGAAATGTGTGACCGTAGCACAGGCTGACTGTAAGCTGACCACGCGCAGGGCGTGAATGGTGGCGATACGTCGTCCATCGGTGCTTGGGAAAGAAGGCCCCGCACCGGCTCAAAAGGCGTCTGGTAACCAGCCACCCTCACAGGGAGCGCAGGAGCGATCAGAGCGAGGCTCCTCTCTGAGGTGTTTCTACCGCCTGTTTAGTCTGCAGTTTAACCAGAGTGTGACGGGCAGGGCTCACTGGAGTCCTTTTGGCTTGTAAAACGAAGCACCCTGTGTTCAGGTGAGACCTTCCCAGCTCAGAAACCCACCTGACAAGTCCCCGCAGAGAGGCTGGGCAAGAGCCTCCCCCACACACACACCCCTCCCCACACCCGTGGCAGCAGGCCCGCCGTCCACAGAGCGAGCCATGCCTCCTGGATAAAGTGCAGACGCCGCCATCTCCCGGAAAAGCCAGCACAGAGGCCTCTGGAGGGGCTGGTATGGTGGGAGGGCCAGCTCTTACCCTTTAAGGAGACAACTTGGAAGAAGAAGTCAGACTGCCGGATGCCACCATTCCAGGACAAACATGGTTATCTCAGTGCCTCAAATGTACTAGGAAATAATTCAACAACCAAAACTACAAATAAAAATTTTAAATAAACAACCAAATAAAACCCGGACCTGAGACCTCAACTGCTTTTCCTTTTTCATGCCCCCACCCCACTACGGGGTATATTGTGTATTTTAGATTTGAAGAGTGCTATGTAAATTGCATTATGTCTAGCCTGAAATTATGCCAACAGCAAGGGACCAGAAGCTAAAATAAAGTCATACTAAGGTGTGTCCCAGAGGAAAGTATAAAAACTCTACTCTGGCAGGAAGTCCCCAAAGTGGCATATCTAAATTAGTAAGCTTTGTTTAAAATACACACACACTTTTTTTTAAAGGCACACAAGCCAAAAGCGTTTGGTAAATTTCTTTTTTTAATGGTTATGATTATTGCAGTAGCAAATCATATGTTTCCTCAGAAGGGCACGTCTGTGTCACTCGGTGATTTTAGGTAGAAGGTGAGTGAAGACGGCGGAAACTCCCAGACAGCGTTCCTAGGGCTCAGCACACACCGTGCTGACCGGGCGGCCAGGCGGCAGCCCTCTCGGAGCCTCACCCTCGCCGGACCCAGTGACCACGCCTGCGACCCCAACAAGATCGGGCAGAAAGCAGCCGTGAAGCCACGCCCACAGCTCCACGCCCCCCTGGCACCTGCTGCAGGGAAACGGCGGCATCAGGACCCCCTGCTCTGGGCCAAGAGCATCTGGGAGGCATTCGACCATCTCGGCCTCCCCGTCCCACTCTCCGGCAGGGTCACTCCCGCAGGAAAAGCCCTGGCCCAGCTCCGGCCCCGGCAGGGCCGGCCCCGGCTGCTAGTCTGCCAGGGGCTCCTGCTCGCTGCGCCACGTGAACAGCCCCTAACCGATCCCCACACCCCTCTCCCTGCTCTAATCGCTGCTCCACCCTGAACCAGGCATCACCTTACAAAGCTGCCCATTCTTATCCAGATCCCTCTCCCCAAAACCCCACAGCACCCGTAGGTCCCCATCCTACACTTACGGGTTCATTTCTTTACTTTGCATCTCAACCAGCTGAGACAAAGCAACCACTTCCACTGCTAGCGCACCCCTCCAGCCCATAAATACAGTGACACAAGCAAACTGCCACTCACTGGAACCACCCACAGTGTCACCCTAAGTGAGCGGGTCCGTGCAGAAACGGGCATCTTCTTGGGAGGCACCGACTCACTCGCTTCTGGACTCGCTAGTAACGGCAGCGTCGGTGCAGCAGGGGACGAGGCAGCCGCGCTGGCAGAGCTCTCCACACCAGCTGTGAAGTGGTACCCATAACCTGTCCAACAAGTTCTGATAACATCACAATTTAAGAAACCTTTTCTCCAATCGGGCCATTGGGTCAGACAGAGACAGTACTTGGAAAGGAGACATTGAAAATTCCTTTCT